GGGGGGGGGGGGGGGGGGGGGCCAAGGACCTTGCCCACTGATTTTCGGACCTTGCCCGCTAATTTTCGGACCTTGCCCGCTAATTTTCGGACCTTGCCCGCTAATTTTCGGACCTTGCCCGCTAATTTTCGGACCTTGCCCGCTAATTTTCGGACCTTGCCCGCTAATTTTCGGACCTTGCCCACTAATTTTCGGACCTTGCCCGCTAACTTTCGGGCCTTTCCCGGGTCCGAAAATTAGCGGGCAAGGTCCGAAAATTAGCGGGCAAGGTCCGAAAATTAGCGGGCAAGGTCCGAAAATCAGTGGGCAAGGTCGTGGGTCAGCGGGCAAGGTCCGAAAATTAGTGGGCAAGGTCGTGGGGCAGCCAATGGACCTTGCCCACTGATTTTCGGACCTTGCCCGCTGATTTTCGGACCTTGCCCGCTAATTTTCGGACCTTGCCCGCTAATTTTCGGACCTTGCCCACTAATTTTCGGACCTTGCCCGTTTAGCCATTAACATTTATATTATATATGAAAGAGTGGTTTAGGGTTTAGGGTTTAAGGTTTAGGGTTTGGGGATTTTAGGGTTTAGGGTGTTTGGGGGTTGACAAGCTGTCAGGGTCTCCGACGTTGAGCTACTCACGAAGCCAAAAACTCCTCAGTGTGTAGGTTTTCCTGGAAAACCTCTGCAAGGGTGTTCTGAAGAATCTACCAACAAGTGAGGGGGGGCTTCCTAAGGTGGGGTTCAACGCTCAGAATTTCCGGTGGTATGGCAGACCGTGGGGACAATGGGGGTGTTCTCAGAGATGCCAAAGGGGCACGAGCCATACGACGGTGATCTGCAAGGGATTCAGCGCAAGGGTGGTGACCTGGGCTTTAGCCCCCCTGGGTTCGTAGTAGGGAATGAGAGAGTGAGGGCCCTACATATACCCTTTGAGGGATTATACAGGGCCCTAGTTCCTCATTCCCTACTCAGAACCAGCCGTTAGGGGCTTTGGTTGTTTGGATCACCTGCGTCTTGGCTCTGTCCAGCCTCACTCCTTTTTTCCCGGATTCAGGACTCCAAGACATAAGGAGGCACGTGGCGGATTCGCACTGCTTCATGTCATCACACGCAAGCACTTCGCATTTCATGTTCGGCAGCTTCGACATCCCTAAGACATGCATCCTGGTGCACGGGAAGTATATGTCGCCGAGACAAATAGCATACTATGAGTTGTCCGGGCTACTTGGAGTAAGAGTTGCGTGCATCTCTGAGCTGCTTGGAATGTGCGATTTGGGAATCCATGAGACAAATCTTTGGAAGCCTTCGGTTGATCGCGCCCCAGGAGCAAAATGCAGAGGAAAACTGTTGTACGGTTGTAGGCCATCGAGGCACTAAGCACTGTAGACTTTTGAGTAACTTGGAGAATGAACTTTGGGGACCTCTGAGCTACTTGGAGTATAAGTTTTAGGCGTTTCTGAGCTGCTTGGAGTAGGAGCCGCCCTGCATCTCTAAGTTCTTCGTGCATGAGGTTCTATACAGGCGCAGGGGGGGTTTCCGAAGATAGGGGTACCCGTCTTGGGGGGTTCCTATCATAAGGATTCTACTATTGTGGGGCACAGCAAAGGTACCCCTATTGGGGGAACACCCACATGGGTATAAGCAGACTAGAAGACATGGAATGCAAGCACTGAGCCTGCTCACACCTAGTCAAGAACAAAGATAGCGAGAGCGTGACAGGATGAGACGTTGCACCCGCGAACCGCAACAAAGGCGACCAGCTCGAAATTGATCTGGGGGTTTACGATATTAGAGGTACCTCATGGGGGTCCTTATGATGAGGGGATCCTACTCTTCGGGGGTCGATTTTCGGGGTCCCCTATCTTCGTAGAGCCCCATGTAGCACTCATCGCGATGTTGCCACTTGCCAGATGGGATTTCAGGGGCAGATTGGGCAGTCTGCGACATGAAGGGGGGGGGGGGGGGCACTTTAAGAGTTGAGGAATGCTGGCCTGCACCAGTTTCGGCTCACCGCGGCCAAGGGCTTGATTGAAGGCATCGGACAACGCGGAGTACATGGGAAGTTCATCTTCCCGACATAGGACGCCTCCAAATTCTTTGAGTAGGACGCTTTCAAATTCTTTGAGCAGGCGATCCAGGCTTTGACCCCGCGTGGGGAAGCCTTGCTACTCCCCAGCGAGGGTTCGAGTGGACAACGCAAGATGCCCAGGCGGCATTGGGCAAAGGTTTCTTTCGCTGAGGGCATCTGCCACACGTCCACCGGCTGGCTATCGGAGTGGTAATTACTGCATGTGCCCTCGTGAGCAGCGTGGAAAAGCCCCAACAAAGAAAAGAGACTGCTGCCGTGGCAGGTTGCGTCGCCGGATGGTCAGAAGGATGAAGAGACCGACACATGCGGGACGAAAGAGGCAATGCTAGTCCACGGGATGCAAGAACCAGAAAGGACTACAGACTCAGAGGACTCCAGCACTCAAGGGTCGCGGCAAGCATCAGAACCAGAATCAGGCCATCGAACACACCTCAGACTCAGAATTACGAGGGGATGTAGACCTCCCAGCATACAGGTGTCAAGATCCATCGTAAACCTTCCGAACCCGAAACCCCTGACCCCGAAGTCTGCCCACTTCATCCACGTTGCGGGGGAGCAGGCCCGAGCCATCCTCCGGCACTTGGAACGCAGTCCTCCAGCTCCTTCCCCCTTCCGCGCACGCCTCGGTGCTTTCGGTGCTTCGCCCCAGCGGGGTTTAGAGTTCAGAGCTTCGGGACCTTTGAGGCGGCTCCAGCATTTCATCAAAGCCAGGTGACCCTCAACCCCCCCCACCTAAACCCCTGTAGTCCCTGTCAAGCCTTACGTCCTGGACCATACCCAGGCCCCAATCCCACCCCAAGCCCCGGCTCGGATCCCAACCGTGGGGTCGCGCAGGAAGCCGCCCGCGTTGCGCTGCATCCGACAGAAGGCTTTTGCCTTGGAACTCCCCGCAGCGTCTGCAGCGTAGGGCAGAGTTGGGGGGCCTTGGGGCTGTAAGGCGTTTTTAGTCAACTTTGGGGGTTTCTAGGGGAGCCCCAAGCCGCAATTGGGCGGGGCTTTCAAAGGGTTTACACAAATCACACTGACCCCCTGACTCAGAACCGCACCAGCACCTCGAGGTAGAAGTCGGCCACCTGAAACCGAGCGCGGAGCCTCAGGTAACCCCAAGCCTGCGTGGCAGGCTGCGCCTCCTCTCGGGTTGCTCCAGCTTCCGGCTGCCTCTGAAAGGCCCCCCAAGTTTGAGCAGGTTTGGGGGGTGGGGGGGGGCTTGGGGGGTTGGTTGAGGGTGCTGGGATACAAGGGCAGCACAAGATGTAGCAGGATATAGCAGCCGGAGCCTGTCAGCCGCCGCCAAGTGCGATGCGAAGCTCGAGGCCAGATAGCCCCCGCCGGAGACAGCCGCCATGTACTCCACGTCCTCAGACCAAAAGAGGGGTACCCCTTTCTATTCCCCCAAATAGCGTAGAAATCCCCTGTAAAGGGACCCCAAGAAAAGGGTACGCGGAGCATCTCCTGCAACTTCCCGGCTTCGGCAAGCCTCCACAGAACGCCGGCCTGACACTCGGGGAGCGGATGGGCGTGGAGCTGGGTCGAGCCGATGCATCTACATGTGCCAAGTTTGCCTTGCGAATCCTTGCGAATCTTGCGACTTCATGCCTGTTGCTGGTAGCCTGCTTGCAACAGCCCATTTGGGCCTGAAAGGCGGCTGCACGGATGCCCCCGCCTTAGAGAAGACGTGAAGTGCAAACGACGCAGCCTTTCAACTTTGCGCAGGCTCCCCGCCAGAGAGCGCAATCGAGAAGGGCTCATCGGATGTGACGTCGCCACAGAAAGAAGAATCTACCTGCACGTTTGTGTGCTGACAGGTTCGTGCCACTTTCCACTACCGGAGGCCCAAGTTCCAGGCTTCTGAGCTGACTTCACGGCTCTGCGATGCTCGTGGCGCGGAGAGACGCTGCGAGCGAGCTTGCAGCCATTCACGCTCCTTCCCCAGGAGCACATGCAGATGAAAGGTCATATGGGAAGAGTGATGGAACGAGTCACGAAGGGAACGCCGCCTCCGAAAAGACATCTGCTTCCGTGAGCTCGGATTGGCCAACAGACCTCCATCTTGACCGGATCTGTTTCTGCACGCTGCCAACGCTGGCTTCAACACTTTCTTGGTCTTGTCCTTAAAGAAGCGCAGTCAATGGTTTCGAGGCAAAAAAGATCCGTGGGAGGCGAAGGTGGTGCACAATGCTGCAAAGTGCTGCAAAGACGCCTTCCTGCCCGACGCTCACCTCGACACTCGGATCCTGCAGGGACAGTACTAGGAGCGGCTCGTGAGCCGGAGTTGCGGCGAAACATCTTAGAATTGTTCACTTGCTGTTTCACTTGTTCCTTGCCCTTTGATCTACGAACCCCATGCGAAGTAGCATGGCCTTCATGGCTCTCGATGGCACCACGTCGCTGCATGACTCCAAGCTGCGCAGGCTCACTTCTACGGTGCAGATGTCATGTGCAAGGCTCTCTGTTTGCACGCTCTGCGCACTAGGCTGTTGGGCAAAGCATCCCCAAAAGAAGCGCACTGCCGATGTCCTACGTCGATAGACGGTTTGCCATTCTAACATCGCGCACTTGCTAGTGACTGCTAGTGACTGCTGCTAGCGATCGCACGGGCCGTGGGGCTTCATGTCCTTCTGCCACAAACTATATTGACGCGGAATGGCTGCGTCCGGGGAAGCAGGCGAAGCTGAGGCTCGCTGCTGCACCTCGTTAACTCCCGCAGACACCGGCCAGATCCGGCCGCTGGATCTGCACACGGCTGCATCCACGATAGTACTCACTAGAGGGAGTAGAGTACCCCCGAGTACAATCCCTATTAAGGACTGCTAGTATAAGGATAACATCCCAATTAAGGACTGCTAGTATAAGGATAACATCCCCAACTAGGGACTGTTCGTGTAAGGATAACATCCCAAGTGTTCACGATTAGGCTCGCCAAGTCCTTCCTCCTCTTCTTTGTCGGTGCTTCATCACCGGCAGCAGTGCCTCCCAGGGCTGGTTGCTCATATGCTGGTGGGGTTTAAGGGTTTAGGGTTTAGGGTTTGGGGTTTAGGGTTTCGGGTTTAGGGTTTAGGGTTTCGGGTTTAGGGTTTAGGGTTTAGGGTAAGGGAAACAGCAGAAGCAGCGCCTGGATCTTCCGCTGACTTTGCCTTGGGCGCCTTCTTAGGCGCCTTCTTGGGCTCCTTCTTGGGCCTGCGTCGGGTTTAGGGTTTAGGGTTTAGGGTTTAGGGTTTAGGGTTTAGGGTTTAGGGTTTAGGGTTTAGGGTTTAGGGTCAAAAGAAGCATCCTGCGCCCCAAACACCCTCTGAGACTGAGGCTTCGGCGGAGCGTGTTCCGCAACGGGCCTCTCCTCTGACAGAGGCGCAGCTTCGGCTCCGATTGCAGTAGCATGCTGTGGCCTTCGGGGGGGATACCGTGGCAGGACCGCTGGCTTCCGCCGACTCCTCCTCCGTGCTTTCCTGCCGCCCATATCGGGTTCAGCACTCCACACATCTCGGCCGCTCTCGCTGTTATCTCAGCGGGTTCAGGGTTTAGGGTTTAGGGTTTAGGGTTTAGGGTAGAGGGTAGGGTGGCTTCAGCAAGCCTCCAAAGCACCGATCTGCTCGTCCAAGTCGTTGAGCGAAACCATGCCATTCAGGGCCCAGCCTCTTGGAATCCGCGGGTCCTCTTGCCTAAACCCTGCAGCAGTGAGCAGTGTAGAACCACACTTTGTGAACCCCCTTGATGCTACCGGCTTTGTAGCAGCTACTTCCGTCATGTGTAGCATGTGCAACAAGGCGTACGTGTGGAAGCCTCACGAACGTGACAGCACCGGCAGCTTCACAGCTTGCGTGGCTATGATCGGCTCAGCATCAGGTGCAAGTGAGTGGGGCAGAGCAGCGAGGGCCTGACAACATCTCGAAGAGTAGCAGCAACAGCCCAGGGAAAATATCAACGACCATCGCAAAGAGCAGCTTTTGCAAACCATCACGCAGCTGAATCAGGTGGACGACAGCCGCTTCCTGCACTATGCGGACATCTGCAAGGACTCCTTGTCTTCACAGCACTGCGCCTCAGCTCAGCGCTTCGTTCGGGCGCCTCTCCGGGCTCACACCCCAACAGGGCGCAAAACAGGGCTCAAGATCCACAGGAGAAAGGCTCAATTCAAGCAGGGCCTCCTTTGGCGGGGAGTCTAAGAGCACCTGGCGGATGAAGCGGGGGTCTTCCCGCATGACGGGTGTCATGACGGGTGTCCCCTTACAAGATTTTCGTAAATCTCTCTCGTGCCGCAGCACCCACCAAGCCCGAAAACCTAAACCCTAGACCCAGCCCTCGTAGGTGTTTCCGGAAAATAGGGGATCCCCTGACAGAGCCCCCAAATACTATAACCTTCTAGGAATCCCCAAGACAAGATGCCCCCATTGGTGCATGCCCCCTGGCTCACAAAAACAAGCGGTGCCAAGCCCTAAGCCCTGAGCACTAAGCCCTAAACCCTAAACCCTAAGCCCTAAACCCTAAACCCCCCTTCAACCCTAAACCCTATACCCTAAACCTTAAACCCTAAACCCTAAACCCCCTAAACCCCAAACCCCAAACCCTAAACCCTTCCAAGCCCTTCATATCTGAGCTCCCGACGGGATCGTCATCCTGGGGCCCCAGGGCTCGAAACCTTGAGTTTGGGTTTATAGGGTTTAGGGTTTAGGAAGTAGGGTTTAGGGTTTAGGAAGTAGGGTTTAGGGTTTAGGGTGTAGGGTTTAGGGTTTAGGGTTTAGGGTTTAGGGTTTCTAGGGTCCGTGGGGCATGTGAGGGGGCGTAACGGGGGCATATTAGGGGCGCCTGGGGTGTATATAGGGGGTATAAAGGGGGGGTTGGGGCGTACATCAGGGGGTATAGAAGTGATATACAGGTATGTAACACGTATGGTATATGGGTGATGTGTAAAGCCCAGGGTTCAGGTTGAAGCCGGCAGCACTTGCTGAGAAAGCAACTTTGGAACGTTCACTGAGGCGCCCAAGTGAAGCCTCACAATTGCACCTGTCAGGCCAACAACTTTGGGGTTTAGGGTTTAGGGTTTAGGGCTTCGGGGGTGTGATCTTGCGAGGATCAGTGCATCATCGCCTGCAGAAGTTGGCACCTTTTGCTCCAATGCATAAGCGGGCGAAAGGCCACGAGCACCCGGCCAAAAGGGGCGCTCCTGGGACCATGCAGTCCAAACTTGGGCCGGCAGCATGGGTGCAAGCCTCCCTGGGAAGCGGAAAAAGACGGTTCATCCCCGAGCTGTCGATGTGTCCCTATGCTAGAGTTCCCGCCTAGGAGGGGGGGGGGGGAACCTTTATAAGGAGGACCCTAAAAGGGACCCTGGCTTTTTGACAACCTCCCCTCTACCATGGTCGAAGATCGGACCTGGAGGCCATATGCCTCGAGCCGAGACTTTCGAGCTGACCACGTGTTGTGGCCACGGTCTCGAAATGGGGGGCTTCCGAAAATAGGGGGTACCCCTTTCTGGGGCCTGATAATAAGGATTGTTGTATTTAAGGGGTATATTAGGGGTCGGAAACCCCGGCTTGGGGCTTAGAAGCTTAGGGTTTAGGGTTTAGGGTTTGGGGCTACTTGAAATTCGGGGCCCCTTTTTTGTTTTGGCAGGCTTACAAGGAGGCCCCCTAGTAAGTAACACCCCAAACATGGGAGCGGCCATCAAGTCGCACCCAACTCATGGCTGGCTGCCGGGATAGGCCTGTCCGAAACACTGAGGGTTCTAGGGTTTAGGGTTCAGGGTTCAGGGTTTAGGGTTTCGGGTTTCGGGTTTAGGGTTTAGGGTTTAGGGGTTTAGGGTTTCGTGGAATCCTGGCCCTAGCTTCTCTCAAAGGATGGCCGTGCCTTGATCAGAGGGTTGATCACACCGACCTTTGACACAGCACAGGCGTACAAACTTGGGATGTTCCCCTTAGACTAGCGCTCCTTCATCGGGATTTCATAAGGGGGTTCTACAATCCCTATAAGGACTGTTAGTATAAGGGGGGAACCTCCCAAGTACAAACGCTTCCCTACCCAGCAAGGGAGCACAGAAATGGCGGGCTCCTTGAGGGTCTCTCGAGCCAGGAGGCCACCACCACCGCGTAGGTGACGGCCAAACCGAGGACAGCAAAGAGTCCTTGAGCCTCGGCATGACGGTTTAGGGTTTATAGGGCTTAGGGTTTGCGGTTTAGGGTTTAGGGTTTAGGGTTTAGGGTTTAGGGTTTAGGGTTTAGGGTTTAGGGTTTAGGGTTTAGGGTTTAGGGTTTAGGGTTAGGGGGTTTAGGGTTTTTTAGGGTGACTTTGGCAAGCGCTATCAAGCGCGCACCCCGCATCACCGCAGGGTCACCGCATGGGATCCGGACAAAAAGGGGATTGTCCGCAAAGAAGCCGACCACATTGGCTATAGGGACAATTGCCCTGCCCAGCATCTTCAAAGAACACAGAGCACACTGACTGCTACTCTCTCAGGCGTTCTGGAACATGAGGCAGCTGCCCAACGTTTTCTTTGATACTCGCCGGAGGCACAGTCAAAACTCCCGGATTCTTTCGAATGACCTTGCGGCGGCGACCGCCACTTGAAGGACAGCTGAGCACTGGAACAAAAAACTGAGTTTCGCTCATCCAAGGCAACATCTGGGCCCAACTCTGCCGACAAAGCCTGTGGCATGCCAGTGGCAGAGTGATGGACAACACCCCGATCACCGCCTGACCCCATGGGTTCAGCGAGCCTCTGAAGAGGCAGCGATCTGCTTGGGCAAAAACACCATCAACGCCAGATTCCGCTCAATGGCGTTGAGGCCCTGCTCCTTACACGGGACCACAGATGACCACGCATGACTCATGCGCACGCGGATGTCCTCGCCGCCGGCAGCGGAAGCAATCGCCCGGAAGGTCTCCTGCACGTCCTCCTGGCAGGCTGCTGGCACTGGGGAATGGCAAGCAGCGGCTTTACCGGGATGCTTCGACACGCCTCCGTCTTGGGCCCTAAGTAGCTCCGGCGCCAGGCCTGGTAGGCGAGAGGCTGCAGTCTGAGTATTCTGAGTCTAAGTCCAAGCCGAGCCCAGTCTGAGCCTCCCTGCGGGCTGCTTCTCCTGAGGAAATTGGTGAAGCACAGCGCGTGTGGCAGAAGGAGCTCGAGCTCCCACAACACACGGGTCAAAGGGGGGTTCATGGGGGCCTCCAGGAGTTCTAAAGCCTTGCGCTCTGCTTCGGACCAGGAGGCTGTGACCTCCGCGATTCCCGCGACTTCGCGACTTCCATGTGCTCGCGTCACGTGGCGGTGTCACATGCATATTACGACATCACGCACCTCGGAGATGGAGGAACGGCAAGGAATTCCTGCCCTGGCTGCGCTGCGAGAGGTTTCCCTCCCCAACAAAACAAGAAAAGTGATACGACGGACTGGACCGGCCTGCACGGTGGCCACCGTGCCCTTTCGTGCCCGAAACCTCCAAGCATTCAGCAAGCCTCCCATCCTCCGAAAGTGGCTGCTTGTGTCCAGGCTGCCAGCAGCTGGACCCGATAAACTCGAGAAACCACAGCCAGCTCCTAGGCTCACCATTGTGTCTGCCCCAGCATCTATATCTTCACGATGCAGCTGTGAGCCAGAGAGGGCGATCAACACTGGACAGTGCTAGGTCAAGAGAAAGCGACCCTTGATTGTGACGGCCACGATCACAAGAAGTCCGGCCTCAGAAACAACAAGAAATCCTCCGATACGCTTTCGTGGCACTTGGGGCCAGACGATTCCCGCAGGACGTCGCGTACGCTGCATGGGTGGTCTCTTCCACAGCTGCGTGCTCATGCTGGCACGTCTCGACATGTGTTCCTAAACCCTAAACCCTAAACCCTAAACCCTAAACCCTAAACCCTAAACCCTAAACACGATGTTGATGTTCGGGTGGATAGGCGGAGGAAAGTCAGCTCAACTCTGCATCATGAGAAGAACCGTCCATGCTGAAGCACTACTGCGAGTGACCATGGCTTGCTGCGTAAGCCATGAGGCTGCAGTTCTAGTGGAGCATGGAACCCGAACTGAGGAAGTTTGACATTTTGAGGACAAACCAGCCGTGCAGCATGTGCGTCACAGACAGAGAGGACACAGAGAGACACAGAGAGACACCGAGAGACACACAGAGAGACACACAGAGAGACACACAGAGACGGAGAGACACAGAGAAAGAGAGAAAGAGCGTGAGTGAGTGAGGGAGAAACAGAGAGGAAAGAGAAAGAGAGAGAGAGAGATATAAAAAAAACAGAAGAGAGATAGACTTAGAGTGAGAGAGCAACAGCCAGACAGAAGTGAACGGGTACCGCATGTAAGGACATGCTAAGCCTGCTATTAGCTTGGAGATCTCGATGACTTTGATCCTGTCCTCCAAGCCTTGCGCCGTGGCAACATTGGAAGCTTCCAAGTCCCATCAAGTTTTGCGGCTACACCCGCCTGCAACTGCAAACCTCTGAAGCGTCGCTGTTTGATCTACGCTGTTGGTGACCTCACGCAGCAGTATAGAATTTTGCAATGGCCAATGATGAGGTGTGATCTTCCACGACTCTACAATGTCCCTACAATCTACAAGACATCATCTACATCTCTGAGCACCGTACCGCCACCCACTGTAAGTTGCACTGTTCCACGAGCCGCTTCACCTAAGGCGACACCGGTCTCTTATCGAACCACGGCGAACATCAGAATCTCGCCCCCCTGCTTGCTCTCACGGGCCTTGTCCACGGCATCACCGGAGAAGTAGCCTTCCAAATGACATTCTCTCAGCCACTGCGCAACACCGCTTTGCCCGCAGGTGCAAGGTGATGTTTTTGTTGGCGGCGAGCCGTGTGGAGCAATGCCATAAAGTCGAGCTGATGGAAGAAGCGCATGAAGCGCTCCACTGACCTACCGGCGCAGACATGCGCACACCTCATCCGCACACTGCATTTTGGGGTTTCGGGAGAGCCACGAAGCCTCCACGAGGTTCCCGCACGTGTCGAACCTGTCCGGTTTCGCTTTGCAGCATCCAGGAGGGCTGAGTTCGCCGAGGGCGGCGCATGTCATCGATGATGATGACATCGTCGATGCTTTGCATCTGTCAAACTTGGGCAGCACAAGCCCGAGGAAACACATCATGCAAGCCAAGGGCCCCTGAAGATACCAAGTGTAGGGAGCTACAAAAGAAGAACTGATAAAGTCCTAGCAGGCACTGATATGTGGACCGACAACAGTGGAAGTCTAGAATAGCCGATGGTAGACTTAGCACTCGGGAGACCTAGGATAGCCTTTGCTAGCCAGTGAGATGGGCACGGGATGCGTGCCCCGAAGGAAACAATCATACATGGTCAACATGGGTTCCGAAATTAGGGGTACCTTATTAGGGTCCTTCTTCTTAGGGAGTCCTACTGTTTGGGGTTATTGGGGGTCCCTTCGAAAACCCCACATTCGAAGAAGACCAGGCCATCGAACCACGGGACACATGGCCCGACTGACCACCCCGACCGCGACATCACCGAAGACATGGAGGCCGAAATTTCACACATTTAGGGTTCAAGGTTTAGGGTTTAGGATTTAGGGTTTAGGGTTTAGGGTTTATGGCGTGAACAATGTGACAGGCAGTTGACCTTAAAGCAGCTGGCTCATGAAGTCCACACCAGGGCACATCAGGCCTAGCTACGAGAGCTCCGAATGCGGCTGTTCCGCATAAGGCGGTGAACTTCACAACAGGCCCGAAATCCATTAGTAATAACAATAATCTCGTGATAACTGCAATAATAATATTAATCAGGAGATATTAATGATAATGGTAGTAGTACGTCCAGCCCCCAGCCTGGGCGTCAAACATGATTTTCACCTTGCCACGTCCTCCACCCTGGCGCGGCAAAAGGAGGCAACTCTCGAACATGTCATCCAGCTTGAAGAACATCTCGAATTGTCATATCAAGATATATATATATATAGATACATATATATATGTATGTATGTATATCTAAGCTATCTTGCCAAAACATGTGCTTCCGATTTTGTCCGAGCCCTTGCTCTCTCGGTGGTCTTCGGGGCGCTGGTGAAACATTTGCACATCTCAAGAGAGAAAGTCCATATGCTAGCAACACTGTCCATCTGCCTCGTCTTACGCTCTCGACGTGGCAGGATGTCTCGGACATGGCGAATCGTGACCAGCGCGCGCGCGTCGCAAGTGGACCCGGAATGCCAAGCCCGTCCATGGTGAATCTTGATCGTGCCTCTTGTGGAGTCTGGCATGGCCACGGCCTTGCCTGCACACCATTACCTGCCCTAAATGCAGGGTGATGCTGCGCAGCTGCTCTCAGTGATGTTGTTGTCCGTGCGCCAGTCCACCGCGCGTCCGGATACAGGCCAAGGAAGCAGTTTCTCCAGTGATCGCCGTGATCTTCAACTTCAGCCTGTTGAGGCACCCCCGGCAATGTCTGCCGAAGGGGTATCCACGCCTTCTGAGGCAGCACCTCGAGAGAAGGCTGTGGCAGCTGTGCGTGGCCCAACATCCTACAAACATGGCAATCTCAGACTGAGAGCCCAGCTGCCAGTTGCATTTCCTTAGGGGAGCCGTTGTCATTCCCCGCATTCCCCACCACACAGGGTCCCCCGATCCCCTCTCCCTCACGCTAAGACCCGGGCCTCCCTCCTCGGCGCTCGGGACGGAGCCTCTAGATTTTTGGGGATGTTCCTCTACTAACAGCTCCTGAATAGGGATTCCAATAGGAGGGGGGGGGGGGGTGTGTGCAGCTTAAATAGGGTCTATTTGGAAGCTGGGAATCGTATTTACAAGAGGAAAACAGGCCCCAAAACGTATACTTATTCACAAGAGCCATGTTCCAAATAGACCCTATTTTAGGTCCTGTAGGGTTGCACAGACAGAATTTAATTCATTAAATTCCTTAATTTCCACTTTCCCCCTGGAATTTAATGAATTTAATCAATTAATTCAATTAATTCATTTGTTTCCAAAGGGGGGGGTGGAATTAATTGAATTAGTTGAATTAATTGAATTAATTGAATTAGTTGAATTAATTGAACCCCCCCTTTGGAAATAAATGAATTAATTGAATTAATTGAATTAATTGAATTAATTGAATTAATTGAATTAATTGAATTAATTGAATTAATTGAATTAATTGAATTAATTGGAATTAATTCAATTAATTCAATTAATTCCACCTCCCCTTTGGAAATAAATGAATTAATTGAATTAATTGAATTAGTTGAATTATTTCGATTAATTCAATTAATTCAATTAATTCATTTATTTCCAAATGGGGGGGATTCCCCAGCCCCCACCCCTCCCCCCCCTTTGGAAATAAATGAATTAATTGAATTAATTGAATTAATTCAATTAATTCAAATTCAATTAATTCAATTAATTCAATTAATTCATTTATTTCCAAAGGGGGGGTGGAATTAATTGAATTGAATTAATTCAATTAATTCAATTAATTCAATTAATTCATTTATTTCCAAATGGGGGGGATTCCCCAGACCCCACCCCCCCAGCTCGATTTGGCCAAATTTTGCCCGGAGGCTGCCCGGCAAAATTTGGCCAAATCGAGCCGCGCCTTTCTGGAGGCCCGAAATTTTTTAAACTATCGCGGCTCGATTTGGCCAAATTTTGCCGGGCAGCCTCCGGGCAAAATTTGGCCAAATCGAGCCACGCATTTCTCATCGCATACGAAGGGCAGCCCGATTTGGCCAAATTTTGCCCGGAAGCTGCCCGGCAAAATTTGGCCAAATCGAGCCGCGATAGTTTAAAAATTTCGGGCCTTCAGAAAGGCGCGGCTCGATTTGGCCAAATTTTGCCCGGAGGCTGCCCGGCAAAATTTGGCCAAATCGAGCCGCGCATTTCTCATCGCGTTCGACGAGCAGCCCGACTTGGCCAAATTTTGCCCGCAGACTGCCCGGCAAAATCTGGCCAAATCGAGCCGCGCCTTTCTGGAGGCCCGAAATTATTTAAACTATCGCGGCTCGGTTTGGCCAAATTTTGCCGGGAAGTCTGCGGGCAAAATTTGGCCAAATCGGGCTGCTCGTCGTACGCGCTGAGAAATGCGCGGCTCGATTTGGCCAAATTTTGCCGGGCAGCCTCCGGGCAAAATTTGGCCAAATCGAGCCGCGCATTTCTCATGGCATACGAAGAGCAGCCCGATTTGGCCAAATTTTGCCCGCAGGCTGCCCGGCAAAATTTGGCCAAATCGAGCCGCGATAGTTTAAATAATTTCGTTCAATTAGTTCATTCATTTCCAAATGGGGGGGATTCCCCAGCCCCCACCCCCCCCCTTTGGAAATAAATGAATTAATTGAATTACTTGAATTAATTCAATTACTTCAATTAATCAATTTATTTCCAAAGGGGGGGGGTGGAATTAATTGAAGTAATTGAATTAATTGAATTAATTGAATTAATTGAATTGATTCAATTATTTCAACTAATTGAATTAATTCAATTAATTCAATTAATTCAATTATTTCCAAATTGGGGGATTCCCCAGCCCCCACCCCTCCCCCCCCTTTGGAAATAAATGGATTAATTGAATTAATTGAAATAATTGAATTAATTCAACTAATTCAATTAATTCCACCTCCCCTTTGGAAATAAATGAATTAATTGAATTAATTGAAATTCAATTAATTCAATTAATTCAATTAATTCAATTAATTCAATTAATTCAATTAATTCAATTAATTCATTTATTTCCAAAGGGGGGGGGGGTGGGGGCTGGGGAATCCCCCCCATTTGGAAATGAATTAATTGAATTAAT